ATTGTCTCATAATCGACTCACCAGGACACGGACGCTCATGGCTGCTAAATAGCACCCGGAGCCATACAGCTCTCGAAAAGTGGGGCTGGGGCGGAACCATTGGCCCTGTTAACCTTTCACACGAGAAAAATGAGGTCAGAGATGTGTCAAAATACGTTCACTTGGGAATAGGAGAGAACTGAAATTTGGGAAGCATAAGATCAGTTTAGAAATCGTAAACATGCCCTGAAGAAGGACAGGTCAGGGAGGGTCTCATAGCAGGAAAGGGAAGGCTGAGGTGAGGGGCGATATTACAGTCAGATGGAAGGATCTTAGGGTACAAAGGGCCGGATGGAGGGACTGCAGGTCAAAGAGGCAGGCTCAGGGGTTACCAGGAAAAAGGGGGTACTAGCTCTTTATCCGTCCCTCAAACAGGATATTATCATTCTTGCGGGCTTCTTGGAATGTCGGCAATTTATCATAATACAAGGGTCAGCTCCAATTTAAAGAGGACATAAAGTGGCCTCTGATATTTTAATCTGGCTCTGGGGATGTCACTTTTCACAGTCTCTTCTCCCAGTTTTCTTTGCCCTGAAGTATTAGTAGCCCTTCGTGAGGTGCAAACACAATAGTCATGTTTGCTCCCCCACCCTCAGCTGCTCCAGCTGAATTATGATAAGAAGGAAGGGGGGGGAGGTCTTCCCTAGGCAATGGTGTCTTTGATGTTTATGACTTTGGTTTTATTTATTTGTGTTTGGGAGTTTACTTTAAAACCGCCTTCAAACACATTCTCAAACTCCAGTGAGGAATTCTATTCCTTGCTGGTTAATTAATAAAATACACAGATATGAAAAGCCACAATGGTATGAGTCACCATTGCTTTTAATGATTTTTTATTTTATGGGTCAGCAACAGAATTATGTACCCTTGGTAAATGGAAGTATATCCGCATGAGGATATAATGTATTCTACTGAGAGTTCCTGGGGTGAAAAGGATTTTAGTACTAACTCTTGCCAGTTCTGTTTTCTTCCTTTTCCATGTCTGCCCACTGTTGAAAATTATTTTAAAGAATGAACCAGAGCTTAGTTTTCAAGTGAAAACAGAGTTTTATTTTAGGTCTTTAGGAGGTGTGTGGTCTCTTAAAGATTCCAGCTAACTGTGTAAGTGCTCCAATGTTGGGGAAAAATACAGAACTATAGGGTGCCTTCTACAGATGAAATAGTAACATTTTTTAAGGGGTAGAGGGGCGAAAAATTGCAGAAAGGGATGCCTTCTTATAAGTGCAGTGATAGATAGGGCTCTGTGAAGGCTGCTCTGATAGTGTTTGGAGAAGTCTGGCACCATTTCTTTAAGTTCCCCAAATTCCAAGTGTCAGGATGCAACGTTAATGGGGGTGACATACCAATTATAAATGTAGGCTAGTGTTACTCCAAAATCGAGGGTTCATCTCCAGGATCACATGAATGCCAAAGGAAAGAGAAGGAAGTGAACGCTCCAGCACATGGTGAAATATTTTCATAGAACAAAAAACATGGGGAAGTTTTACTAGAGAGTTTCAAAACCAGATGAAAGTCCTCACAGAATGACAAAAGAAGGATGGATTCATAATGACCAGGGATGGTGCGAATACAGAGCTTTTCATGGAAAGAATGATACTCACATACACTGAATCACCCACTATGGAAAGATGCCACCTACTGATGGCTATAGACAATAATCTTTGGCCCACACAGGCTCATTCCTGATTGTCAAGTCTCTAGCCAACATTTCTTAAAAGAGGGTGGGGAAATTCTTAAACACTTACGGAAGTACCACCTAGGAATATTACTGGATATTTATTTGGGGGCCCGCTCATTCAAAAATAAATAATTGCTGAGATCCAGGACTCAACAAGAAGCAAAAGAAGTACTTTTTAAAACTAAAGCCAGGAGCCAGCAGCAGTTTCCAGACAAAGTGGTGTGTAAGATGTAAGGGTTAGTCATCTCAGGATGAATATCCTCTACGATTTGATTAGTAGCCCTCAAATTATGTAAAAACCAATAGTCATTCATTCTCAGTTTCTTTATTGCTATTGTGGTAGTTATAAGGACCAATAGATCAACAGGGGTTATAATCCCTGAATATGGTATTTAGAGGCTCAATATCTTCCATTGTCTATTGTTATTATTTTAAGATTTTTATTATGTATTACCGGGGAAGAGGCCAGGAGACAGAGTGGGGAGAAGAATTGGCAGATGGATGAAGTCCACTGCTGAGGGGAGCAGTGGGCCTGACAGGAGAGGTCTGCTGCACCATGTGGGTCACCTCCGGGGTAGAGATCAAACTCGCACTGAGGTGGCTATGGCTGTAGCTAGCTTGCAGTGCTTTGCCTTAACCCACCAGTGAGAGCCTAACCCATCATTTTACCACCAGTGAGGGCCTAAATATTATTTTAAATTAGGTGTTACTATAGCTGAATGGAGTCCTACCTGTGTGGACTCTGTTGACACACTTTCTAGCCTCACCTATTGTAGAATTTCTTCTGGAATTTTTTGGTTGTGGCTCCCTTTCTATCTGAAGCAGTGACCTTGAAGATCACCGATCTAAGGAATATCTGATCTAAAGAACAAATGTAAAGAGATACCTATTCTTTTTGGTAAGAAAGTCACTTGAGTATTTAATTTGCATAAGTCTTATCCTAGGAGAGGAATTGTGCATTCAGGCATGCACAGAAAACTGTTTCAAGTGAATTCCTCCAATTTGACAGTTCAGAGACTAAGAACAGCTTATGGGAGAGCTCTCTGGATAAGCATGAGAGTAATTTTTGGGTGAGGGGGCTCTGTTTGCTATTTAAGACGAAATAAGTTGCTTTGCTGTTAGTTAGGAAGTCTTTGTTTCTTTACCTCTGCTACTGTTACCTGGATTCCTCTTGAGGAATGTTAAGGTTGACAGAACTTTTTTTTTTAATTCTTTATTTGTCAGGCACTTTCATGTCTAGCTTTTGGGTTCCATTTTTACATCTCCATATGTGCATATGCGACACTCACTCCCCACCAAAATATAACTTGACATCGTCAGTCTTAATTCACATCAGCAAAGAGTGTGGTGATGATGAGCCGTCTTACCAGACGCTTCTACCTCCCCACTGCAGAGAAGATTAGGATAGTCTCGTCTTCCCAGGCTTCTTGTTTGCAGCAAGTGCATCACCGACGTCCCTCAGATCCCTAGTTTTTTGTTTTTCTGAGGGGTGGTGAGTGCAGGGGGTCCTTGGTTGTGTCCTTGTGGAAAGCATCTTCTTCTGTCCAGACGGGTCACAGTTCAGGGTGGCAGAGCATCCTGGTGCCGCATGGCTCAATGTTTCTGATTGCCCTGACCTTATCTTAATTTAAATAATTTGAAGACAATCTCCACTAGTTCTAGATATCAGTGAACTGGATATATCAAATACCCATTTTAGAAAAGCAAATAGATTTTCTTTAGGCCTCGGATCTATTTCTTGTATGTTCTTGAGATGCCTTTGCTCAGTGGCTCCCTTTTGGAATCTGATTGTAATACAGTCTCTGTACTTATTTACCCCTAGTCTTGTCCTGGGTCTTTTGGATTCCATCTGGGTCTACCTCGATAGCTCGCTCTGGAGATCTCTCTTCAGGCTGGTTTCTCTGCAGTCTTACCTTCCAGACCAGTCTTTTCTAATACCATTCATTCATTCTGTGCTCCCCAGCTGTGAGGAGGGCATTCACATCTGCCCAGTTAGAATTAGGAGTGACAAAAATGGACATAGACAGGTTTTCCTTCTGTTGGGGATTGTCTCTGTAAGACAGCATATTATTTTTCCAGTCATATAGATCTCTTCTGGATAGCTTTCAGCATTGGGTGCCACAGGGACTTGTCTTAATGGAGTTCCCTCATTTGAGACAGTGTCAGGGGACACTGAATTATGTCCCCTTTTGGGTATGAGAGGGGGAGCCCATTCCTTTCTGGGGGTCAGATAAGGAGGGATGTAGTGTTCTGGAAGGTTCCTTATAGTGTCTCATGCCATGACCTATGGGTAAAATCCAGGGAATTCACTCCCATAAGCACCTATTTGCACCCAAAACACTGTCACTAGAGGGAGTCTTTTCTTCAGCCACTGGCAATGAAAACATCTAAAACAATGGAAAGTGTTAACTCCATCCCAAACCACAGCCCACTGGGCTGTATGCTATGTAATTGGTCCATGTTTACCTGTGAAGACCAGTGTGTCCAACTCAGCTTAGTATTTCTTATGACTACTAACCTTAGATGCTGCTTGGACTCTAACCTAGCTGATCAAAGCATTTTCAACTGAAGACCACAAAAGGGAGGTCCACAGACCCTTCATCCTTGAGGGGAATTCTTTTGCAACTGAGGACTCCATTATGCAGTCCTGTAGAAAGAGAGACAATGTGTGGTATAGACATTGGTGTGAGGTACTCACCCAAAGACGTCTGATTCCAGCTGTTTTTCTCCCAGAATGAAAATGCTTCAAGGGCACCCAGGACACCAGAATAGGGGTGAATGTTTCCTTCAGAAGCTTAGTTTCTAGACAAGTTTCCTAGATGGTTAGTTTAGCTTGGGGTGGAAAGCCCCTGCCCCATTCCCCTGCTGTGGCTAGAAGCCCCATGTTGCAAGCCAAGTCCATTAATCCGAAATTGTGGGTTTGTCTACCTGATGTGCATGAATTCCAAAGCTGTGCCACCAAGGGCAGGGAAGAGATCCAGCTTTTAAAACAGAAGTGCTTCAGTAGTAGGTAGGAGATGTAGATCTAACTGTCTAAAAATTAGCGGACTGAGCTTATGTTACATTTGGGGAAGCTAGGCTGTGGAGAAAGAAGAGCTGAATTCCATTGGCTAGGGAGTGTGCTGGAGGCACAGGAATGTGGGTTGGGCAGGAGATCATTGGGTAATGTGGTCAGGAGGGACGGGAATGCAGAGCTGGCCGAAGGCCATAGTGGGTGGGCTCTGGCCCATATATGGGCTGCTAGTCAGATCTTTCTGATGCATGGATGCCTCATGGACAAAGCCCGAGGTCTGGATTGCTAGGTTCTCTTTATCTGGAGAAGACTCAAAGAAAGACAGAGAAGTAGAATTGCTTGAGAAAACAGGTTAGTCTTGGCACTGCAGCAAAGAGGAGATATATTATCTGATTTAATTGGAAATCAGAATTTTGGAAAACAGAATGTGGTTAAACCTGGCTAAGAGCTGTGGTGTGGTTGCAAAGGATGCAGGGCTAATTTGGGAGTGGGTTTCAGCTTTTGGGGACGGGTTTCATTACTAAGCATATGCTCGTATGTCTAAGGTTCAGTCTCCTAATGGCCTTCTGCTTCCATTTTGGATATTTTCCTGTATCAATTTTGATTCCACTACTGCCTCTACCCTCATCCCATGTTGTAAGGAAGACTTCAGAGGCAGTGTCATTTCAGGGGTTTTTGCCACTGTCTTAGAAACAAAGGCCTTCTGAGGTTTAAGGTGAGAGAGTGGCCCATGCTGAAGAAAACCCTCCCAGAACCAGCCTCCATTCTTGCCCATGGCCAGAGCAGGGACAGAAAGCTTGACATGGTCTCATAACTATGCCAAGAGACAACAATTGGGAAATGGGGTTTGGAGTAGGGTGCTGGTAGGCTGGGGGGGGGAGGTCTTTGAATGCATTTTGTAGGACTGTTGTTTCACTTCCTCACTTCCCTGGTCCCCAGTAACTGGGAGGGCTGGGGGCTTACAATGCCGACCCCTATCCTGTGACACAGGATGGTGGGCGAAGTGTAAATTGATCATACTCTTGCTGCTGTAGAGATGAACAAAGTAAGTTTTTCATTTTCTCTGGTACAGATGAGGAGGAGAATTTTGAATTATGGCCTCTTTTGTAACAGGGGTGGGCAAATAGTTTGTGTCCAATTGTGAAAATAAATCAAAACTAGCCAAAAGAGAAAAGCGAAAGCTAATTTATTCAGTGCTTGATAGGGCAAGGAAGTCAGCCAAATTGTTTGCATTTGGCAAAGACTCAAAGACAGAGAAGTAGAAAACCTTTGTGGTGGAAAAAGGAAGGTTTTGGCTGTTACCCATTGGTGGTGGTTGGCAGGGGGAAGCTGGAGTCAGGCTTCTGGAAGCTGGGTATCCTATTGGTTAGGTGTGCAATGTCAGCTTTCTTCAACTGGTCATAGTTGGAAGAAGGAACCAAAATTAGGGAAACTGTTGGTTAGGAAGCAAGTCCTGGCCATCGTGGGGTTTTTGTTTGGCTGCTTGACTGGTTGCGGTAAGCAGTGCTCTGACTTGCTGTGTTGGTTGGTTACTGCAGATAATAAGTTAGTTTACTGGGCTGGTTGTTGCTGGTTTTGGGTCAGAGTTCTATTTTTACATATGGTCTGGTCTTTTTCTGTTTGTAAACTCAGTTTCACCCCCTTTCTCCACTAGGGATTCTGGACGCATTACAGATTAGCCTGGATTGACCCAGCATAGGGAGGGGTGAGCACAACGGTGGAGTGAGAGAAAAAAATGTTGTTTCAATAGAAAACTATGCATTATCTTAGTGTACCCTTGGGTTACTATATCCTTGGGCTGGGATATCAGAGTTTAGCCCTGTTCACTACCTGTGAACTATGTTGCGACTCAGTAAGTTTTAGGCAACTTCAGAGATGTTGCCTGCATAGTAGAGATATAAGTGAGTTCTTCCTAGCCCAGTGATTAAAAAAAAAAAAAAAAAAAGCTTTGCTTTATTTGCATTTCATCCCAGCATTACTTTTCCCACTTAAATCAATGTTATTTTCACTTTTCTTTTCACCCAGTGATACTAGATCCCTCATATTTTTTAGACACAAGTTTATTATTATTGTTATTGATGAGAGTCATGATTTTGGTATTGATCTAACTGGACTGTATCACTTGAGCTCAGAGATGTAGACTAGGAACCACAGATTGTTTCCACAAAGGAAGTCCTTTATTTACATGTGGCGCCACCATGGGAGAATAGCATTTAGTATTTTCCATCTCTTAAGAGTGGTGAGTGAAGGAAGCTTTTATCAGAAAGGAAGGAATGCACAGACGTGCGGGTGGATGGTAAGAGTTTCCTCCTTTTCGGGTCTGGGAGGTGGCTTGGCAATCTAGGGGTAATTAATTACAAGACCATTGATGCACTTCTGGAATTGCTACTCTCTTCTGTGTTGGCACTTTAAAGTGACCTGGGGGTGTTTGTCAGGCATAGTTGTTCTCAGCAACCTCTGAAGGAACAAATATTTTGTATAGTGTTAGGCAGCCTATAATCATAGTTCTGACGAATGTAGTACAGTGGTTTCTAGGCAGGGGTCAGGCATTAATCTTGGGTCAGTCCCGGCTACAATTTTAGCCTTTTTTCAAAAGTATCCTTCAATGTTAAGTGTTATGTGTGTAGAGGGTAGGGAGAGTGAGGGGGAGGGGGTGGGTGGCATCAGGGACAGAGCAGGGTGGTCTTGAAGTGTCAAGGGGCTTTGGGTTTGAGCTTGATGTTGTAGAAGGTTTTTTATGTGTTTCTTGGCCAGAGAACGAATATAATGGTGTTGAGATCCTTACCATAGATTCTTGTTGACCTTGGACTTGCCTGAGATTGAATTTCTTGCTCACCATAGGTATGTGTGACTGTGGTCGGAGGGGAGGCTATCAGCCAGATTTCAGTTAGTATGGAAATGTTTAATGTGAAGTTTTTGCATGTATGATAGCTGGAGCAAATATCATGGCGGCTCTATCACTGGAGTGGGCCAGGGCTCGCTAAGAATATTTGTGTGGCATGTATCTGTACCACAGGCATTCTGTAATTTCAGCTAATTTGGACTCAAGTCAGGTTTTGGAGAATTGGTGTTCAAATTGTTACTAAGAAAGGGAAGAGCTTTCCCTCAGAAGGTGATTTTAAGAATGCTATTTCAGACCATGAGTGACTAAAAGAAACAACCCCAGCAAATAACTGCACAAAACTCCCCCAAATCACAGAATCAAACTCTGCAAACCAGAAACCTTTCTTGGAGAATGTGGGTGAGCAGGGATGATGCCATGAGTAAGGATATGGCAAATATGAAAATACCCTCCTGTTCAGGCCTGAGCCTGACTCCTGAAACATGGCCAGTGGGATGGTAGGGCGTAGGGCCAGCTGCACTGGTAGTTATGAAACTGAGGGTATTTGGGGGTGCAGCATGTCACCCTTGGGCTGTGGGAGGGCTGTAACCTTGGCTCAATGGCTCGATGAGATGCTGGGGGCAATAGAGTCTTTGCTTGACACACGCTGTTGCTGAGGAAATGCCCTAGGTGTTCTCTGTCCTATGACTCAGTGACTTAAGCTGGTTAACTGAGGAAGCATCCCAAAATATGCTTGTGGTCGCTTATCAGAGAACTGGCTGTTCTAGCTCCTTAAAAACATTCAAGGCTTGGAACTTGGAACTCAACTCACTGGATTTTGGCAACTGTACAGGAAGCCAAACAAGAACTTTTGTAGCAAATGGCCCCAAATAATAATATTTCATTCCTAACTGACAGCATCGCCAGTTTTTGTGCTTACTTTCAACTTAGGGACAACCAGAGAAAGTCAACTATGCATCCCTGGTCACTCACATAGTGCTTGCGGCTTCCCGCTTAAGTTGTCCCAAGCCAACCTTTACTCAGGGCACATTTGAAGCCTTCACTTTTTTTCTCCATGAAGCTTTCTTTCTTCTCTGCCTGCCTTTCTCATCATTATGGAAAGCAGTTAGTGGTAGGTGATGCCCTTGTTCTAACCAGCTCCAATAAATAGCCATTTCTGGTTTTCATAAGAGGATTGTTTATTTCCACAAAAGCATGGACTTGATCCATGAAGAAAGCTGAATATCCTAACACTGATGTAATAATTTTTTTTAAAGATTTATTTATTCATACAGAACTGGGATACAGGCCAGAGATGTGGAGGGTGAGAGGATTCGCCAGAGACAGAGCGGGGAGCAGAACAGGCAGATTGATGAAGTACACTGCTGAGGGGAGCAGTGGGCGGGTCAGGAAAGGTCTACCTCGCCATGTGGATCTCCTCCGGGGCAGGCGGGAATCGAACTCATGCGGAAGTGGCTTAAGCTTCTTAGTGCAGTGCTTTAACCCGCTGCGCCACCAGGGAGGGCCTGATGTAATAATTTTTAACAGAATATTAGAAAGTCCTTTGTATCACAAGGATAATATATCATGATCAAATAAGATTTTCCCCAGGAATGCAAGGGTGATTTAATTAACATAAATCAATCAGTGTTAAACATTATAGCAACAAAAGTAAAGCTAAAAATCATATGATAATGGATGAAAAGAAATTGTTTGATAATATCCAGCAGCCATTCACGATAAGAACACTAAACAAAATGAGAACAGAACTAGCCTACCTCAGTACAATAAAGGCCATGTGTTACAAATCAACATCCAATATAATTGTTTCCTTCCCATTTATTATTTGAATATAAAAACACTATGAATTTTGTATGTTGCTTTTATAACCTGCCACTTTGCTGTATTCATTTCTTGCTTCAAATAGCTTGTTGGTGAAATCTTCAGGGTTTTGTATGTAAATCATCTGTATATATTGATAACTTTAATTCTTTTCTCACCTGGGTTCTTTTTATTTCCTTTTGTATACTGTTCTAGCTAAAACTTCTAATACTAAATTAAACAAGAACTTGTTCCTGATGTTGAAGAGGCAGTTTTCAGTTTTTTACCATATGTATTTTATGGGCTGTTGGTGTATAATATATTACCTTTATTACATTGAGATGGGTTCCTTCTATTCCCATCTTAGAGTTTTTAATCATAAATGGGTTCTAAATCTTATCAAACGCTTTCTTTAGTGTGACCTTGGTACAGGGTAACTGGGTGCTTTCAGTAGTTAAGAGATTTACAGAAAAATGAAAAGCGGTGTCATTGAGGAAAAGCACTTCTGAGTCTGTGGACGCCTTAGAGCAGAGAGGTGTGGTGTTAGTGGGTGTCTTCTACCTTTCCCAGCAGTTACTCTGAAATTAAAGTTATTAGCAACCCTATTTTTCCAACTTCTCAGCTCAGGTGACTCAATCTGAGTGTTCTTGTGAGAACCTGAGCTCCAAAGAACATAGAAGTGACCAGACTGGGGAGAGATGTCACTCAG